GGTTAATCAAAAGTGTCTGTCCATATAGAACTAATAGATACACGTTACACGCTCGACTTTCATAAACATTGTGTGCCTCGGGTCATCTGAATTTATATGATCATTTTAGTGTCAACAATTGTACAGTCATCGCTGAAAGCCGATAAAAACAATGTATACACGTTTATACGCTCGTAAACATCCCTAAGAGCCCCGGGTTATCAGATTTTATATTATGTCTTTGTTATTGGCTATAACAATTACAATTGATATGATTTAGATACAAAAATGTAATATTTAAAAAATGTACCTACCTATCTATGTATAGTTAGTAGGTATTTGACTTTAAATGTCGCTTTAGAAGCATAAATGGACGTATATACGGATATAGGCGGAAATTAAAATACGTTAAAACACTCGTAAATTATAAATAAAACTATCTTTTCGGATTATTTCGCGGATTTATTTTGATTTTTGGTTCTTGGTATTTAATTTTTGGTAAATCTAAGAAAGTATTACTTGTAAATTATTTGGAATTTCTTTCTTTTGAAACAACGTACCCATACAATTAACTTCTTTAAATAAATGACAATTTTATTTTTCTATCGGTTAGTCGAACTTAAAAAAAATATTTAAAAAAAAGATTAATTTCAGCATAAAAACTCTTTCAAGTGTAGAGTCAGCGTGCGTTCTTACAAAATTGAAGATTTCAGATTGGGGTAATAAGGCCATACTGACACTTGTCTTGGCCTAGAAGTCTGGAGGTCTAGAGGCTTGAAGTATAGAGGCGACATGCAGTGTTTGGGACCAGCATATTCATAAGGGTAGAATGCTTTAAATTTAAATGTGTAAAAGTTAAGTAGAGTTATATAACAAACAAAAAATAACCAAAATTATTACAATCATTAGTTATAATTGCTATAAAACTATAACAAAAATCCTACTTTCATCGGGATCGGAACAACTGTGAGAGGTAAAAAGTAAAAAAACCTCGAAGCAATGAGAAAAAATAAAAAAGTAAAAATGACAAGACGTTATTTGCATTCCGCTAATGGCTGCTACCGCCGTAATGCGGGGGTAGATAAACAAATATTGCTTTATCCAGTCACAATTTATTCTCAGTTTTATTCGCCATTCCAAAGTCAGAAGTCGGGAGGGAAGTAGACGGTGAGGAATTTGGGTTTTTAAATGATTTGCACATCATTTCACCTAATCAAGTGATTTGATTGTTTGTTTTTTTTGTTCGTGATCGCAGGAACTTATTCTGATTTCCATAACCGAAAGTAATTTATGTATTTGTGGATAAGGAAAAGTGTTTTTAAGATTTGTTTTCCCGAATCGAAGGGCTTCTTATGTGGGTCACGATAAGCTTATCTAAATAGGGGGTCCATGATACTCGTTTTTCACCTGCCCTCTTTATATCTTTCCTGGAACCTACATTCGCATACAAACGACTTTGACCCCCATTCTCGGCCTCCGTTGCTCGTAAAGTTCCAGCGTGTAAACACATTGTAACTTTTCGTAATATGAAGGGTATTCATTACACTTTTTTTCCGAATTATACGAAAAATGCAAATTAAAATAACTCTCAAATCCCAACTCAACCGTGTCGGAGCTTAATCCGCGAAGTGACAACGGCATTCTGACGAGGCGCCGGAGCTGGGAATTATTAAAACGAACGCCAACTTTTTCACTAAGCCCCGTCGCAAAGCCGTTTCAATTGCGCTGCGCTGAAGATAATTCCAACTGACGTCATCTTTTTTTCAAATTCTCGACTCGGCTGCGTTTCTCTGTGCAGCAATTATAACATTTCCACCGACTAGGAAAACAGAAACACGTGAGAGAGAGCGCGTCGAATCGTACCGTTCGTAATTTAAATTTAGATGGAAATTTAATGATGCATTCACAAAGGGCGCTCGTAAAGTCGGTTGCGAGATATTTTTTACGAGGATCTCGCGAACTATTGCGCGCTTAACGACTCCGAAGCAAGATCGCCCTCCGCTTTAATGAGCGCCCGATAAACGTGTTAACTGCCGCGACCTTATTTTTATGCTGATGTAAAATTGCTGAAAACGGATTCATTACGGTAAAAGAAACATTATGTAGCGAGATTTCACGTTGAGTGGAGGGAAATTTGTGTCTTTTGAGGTTGCAGGCGTTGTACTAGAATGTTGTATACTCCAGCTAACGAGGGCGGATTCCTGACAGTAGTTGTGTAGGTTTGTCATTCGTATATACAACTATATAAGTGTCACTCTCTCTCTATATAGTCCAAGAGTATAATAGAATATCTTGATGAAAATTAATAAAGTAAATTGATTATATTTTTAAAAATAATAATATCTTTTTATCTTTTAAAATATTTAAATTAAATGTGTATTGTAAGCAAATAACAAGACAATATATAGACAATATGTATATTATATATAATTTAGTTTTTATAATAAACAAGTTTAATAGATATATAGTTGTATATATAAGGAAATTTCGTCGCGGTCATCACTCGTTGGCCCATGTACAGATATAGGAAGAGGGAACGAGAAAGCGAAGCAAGGTAGACCTGGCTATGTTTAATATATGAAGGCAGGCGACGCAGCGCAGGTAAACATGGCCCAACCTTCGCTCCTGTTGGCTACTGTTTGCTCACCGTTCTAGTCTCAAGAGAAAATATGTTTGCTTTGCATACCTAACTGCAGCCTGTTTGGGAGCAGAATACGCTGGCTTTTTTCGCTTTTTTAGTCACTTCACAAATATGTTGAATATTAACTGTTGTTATATTTTTACTTTACTATTTTTACTGAACTCGTTTGAAATTGTATGAAATGATTTATGAGCCGTTTTAATGTTTAGTGTTTTAATGTGAAATTGAGGACATATAATAGATAAGGGATAATTTATTTTATGTTAAGAGAAGCTAAAAAAAATCATGAATTTGTATTATAAGTAACTAAAGTTTACTTTGAACGTAAAGCGATATTTTCAATTTAGCATCCGATAAGAGGACTCATCACGAGCCATAAGAGTCGTTAAAATTCCGATCGATATTAGAAATCATAACCGATGTTTGTTGAAGTGCTGAGCTCCAGGCCATAATCCGGCATACAACTCCACTTAACAAACGTATAAATAATATTCAAGGCGAGGGAACATATTCAAGGGTACGCTTTCGAGGGTAGTTTGACGGCGTAACGAATCGAAAAACCAAATCATCGAGTAGTACCCCTACTGTACACCGCTACATGATAGTTTACAACCGATGCCATGGAGTCGATATTAGATAGGTAAATTGTATTATTATTTGTCATATAATTTTATACCTGTTTGTAATTTAGTATTATTATTTCATATAAAAATATGCACTTACCTCTTAGCTAATTTATTAATAACTCTATAAAATTATATATTTTTGAGACTTTTGCTTTATAGTTACACAAGTTATAAAATGGAATGAAATAATATACGTAAATATTGTACGTAAAATTGAAAAATATTTTAGAACAATATACAGGTAACGGATACTTTGTAAATAGGATCGTAAAAATAAAAATAATTAGTAAGTCGACTCTATTGAAGTCTATAGAGCTGAATCTTTAGGGCTGCCCCTTAGCGGTCTATCGAGAGTGCTCGTAGTAGTTTTTTATATATTTTAATTTTAATTTCATATCGGGCGCTAATGGCGGGGCCTCAGTGCGTGCCAAATCGCACCGAGGAAAATGTATTCATGCTGCTATAAAACTTAATGTAGCGAATGAACTAATATTGTCTTATTCAATATTTAATTTTGAAATATAAATTTGGCGAATTTTTGCGATTCATAAATTTTATTGGCATTTGTTGATATGGGGGTTGATAGGTTGTTTGCAAGATATTATAGATATTTTATTGGTATCTTAATTGTTTTATAAAATAGTAAAGTACACTATAGGTTTATACATAATATTTTTAATAGTTGCTTTGAAAAAGTACGTATTATATGAAATATTCGCTGAGGTTAAGTCTTATGTCGAGAGACACCTTTAACCAATTGTTATTATTATTATTACTTGTTTACAACGTTAAAACAATCCAAATGATCTCCTTAGGTTATAGTTACTGAAGCAGATAGTATTTTTGTGAGAACAATTTTTGTAGAGGTGAACCCGTGACTTTCAGCGCAGAAAGCTGTACCCACTAGTCGATGCTAATGCTACATTGTGCCCTGGTGGTTAGAAATATATCTACACTATTTTACACCCTTATTTTATGTTTTGGACTGTATCTTAATAATTTATAACTGATAACGTTTCAAATAACCTATAAGCTGTCACCCCTCGTGTACTGAGCAAACATTTCTGGAGTCAAATGAACGCTAAGTTAATCCGTTTAGGTGCGCGAACCCACTTGATTAAGTTTAATTTATTTTAAAAATCAGCGCGAGTCGTGCGCCGCCTCCGGCCATGGGTCCCTACGAAATACATTATTCAGTGTTTTAGAATAATTTTCAAATTCGATTACATAGGGCCGACCCCTGGTAAGTGGGTGGGTCGGGCGGTGCGGTACGGCGCGGCGGGTGTATTTAGCCAACACGGGGGTCTCGTCGCGTGCGATGCTGATTTGAATATGCGTTGCACGTGGCCTCCCGCGCTTCGGCTAGGCCCCTGGGACTCCGCCGATCATATTTCAAATGTCACCAGCGATGTCTCACTCAGATAGTATCGCCGATAAACGCTCAGATACCGGCAAGGGTGAAAATAGTGCCGAGGTCTGGGAGCAATTTTTTACCCCGCGATTATCGCCTGCAGTTGACACCTAGATATTACTTTTCGTTCAGCGCACTCGTATACACTGTTCACTATACAGGCATTTTGCGGTTACGTAGAAGCTCTTGAATGCACTCGAAGTTTATTGGCGTGCCAATTTTCCCAGTGACTTTTTCAAGACATGTATGTATGTTCCTACTCATAACACATTTTAATACGTTTGAATATTTCATCTTTTCTTGTGGAGTCTATTCTAGTCTATTTTTGATGTATTTCCATTTAAATATTCTCAGATTTTTCATATTTCTCATATGGAGGTAGCATATAATCGGTGGGAGTGGTGACACGTGCGGGCGGGCGGCGGCGCGTGCGCAGGGCGGCTGCCACGCGCCGCCACTGGCACTCCATTACCGCGAGACCACTGCTTCTGATCAAAATGTACCAAAGCAATGTCAAAGAATATTATATAGTCAGATGCGAGGTTTTAAAATATTTATATCTGTTATGTGTCCATTGTGTTTTATATAGACTTAACCAATATATTATTTCAACTCTTCCTCTACGTTCTTTTCTTTCTACGCTCTTTTATATAAAGTGGTGTTTAGTTTATGGGTAAGCCATACTAATATTATAAATATGAAAATAACTTTGTCTGTCTATCTGTCTGTTACCTTTTCATGCTTAATCCGCTGAACCGATTTAGACGAAATTTGGTATCGAGATAGTTTGAGACCCTGGGAAGGGTCAAGGGAAAGTTTTATCCCGGAAAGTATCCCTTAAGGGGGTGAAAAGGGGGGAGGAATTTTGTATGGGGAATCAACCATTTCTCAAGTAAGGAATATAAAACTCATCATACCTATGTAAATAATATATATACCTATAGATAGAATATGTAGTCTATGTATTCCATACTAAACGTCAATAGGTATCTTGGGACGAACCCAAGCGAAGCGAAGGCGAGTCGCTAGTGGAAAATACAAATATTCAAGTGAGGAGCAGGGAACTAGTAATAAGGTCTGTGTTTAAAAAAATCTGTACAGCTTCAGATAGTACTGTTAACTTTATTGAATTTTGTTATACTTAACTAAAATATTTTGTTATTTTAAATAACAACACATGTATTATTTGCATAGATTATTAACCACGAGTATAACATAATTAACTCTGTTTACTCGTCGCATCTATGGTTTCATCTTTGCCATAACATTAAATGACATTGATGCGATGGCTCGAGCAAATCGCCTCATAATCCGCTACTTGTATCGCAAATCGAGATATGGACGAATTAATTTTGGCCGCTTGCTGATGTAATTGAAAATAGGACTTAGCGTGACAGATCTTAAATCAATTAAAATATCTCGACATTTACTATATGATTATCGTTTAAGATAATAAAATTAATTTAAATTGAATTATATTTACTTTATTCAAGCGAACTAAATTAAGGTAACGAATACGCCTTATAATATACGCTTTAGTCTGATATAAAAATATACATGAACTTTTAAAATAAATAAACTCGCGGTTATAAGCTAGTATTAATAAACGTACAGCAATGTTCAAGTTTGCGCACCACTGCGCGCCGACGGTCAGAACCCCCTCTAGGATGTCCAATCGGGTAGCTTCCCATGCGATTTGCCTGCGTTACACTCGTGAAACAATTTATCCGATAAAAGATTTACTACCAAAAGTACGAATATGTGGAATAAAACATGCGTATATATTATTTATATTATTTTTTAAAAAAAAAAATGAAATCTTTATATGAACATGTTATAAAAAGAGTTGTTTTTAAGAAATCGATATTAGAAATTATATTCATTACAATCTGCTTTAAATACATAAAGAAAGCTGGCTATTAGCACATTCCACAATAAATTCATAAGTATTGTAAACAAATTATACAGCCACAATCAAATCACAATAACGTCAATGAGGTCCAAACCAAATGAAGACGAATAAAAAGTGCTAAGAAATTCAATAACCGTCCACAATTCTTTGGATTGTCACCCCAACACAGGGAATACCTTAACCAACAATCAGCGATAGTTCAAAAATTACTTACAACCCTTATATTGTAATACTTAGAGTTTACTTTTGAAAAAAAAAATTGTAACCACCAGATGTACTGTCTGTACAATTCCCCGAGATTGAGTGCGGGACACCGCGAGGGTTCGATTATTACTCGAGTTTCGATACACCACTCGATGCATCGCGGAAGCTGCATTACACGAGTAGTTGCTGTTTTTTGACTGATCGCTCGACTTGTGTTGCATTGCGAATTATTCTAGTAGGTATATATTAAGAAAATTACTTTTTTAATAATTAAAACGAATAAATATTGAGAAGTATTATGGAAAATTAATTTTTAGATTAAAGTCGAAAACATTGAAATAATATAAATTTAAAATGATTTTTTTAATTGTAAAGTTATAAAACAACTATATATAAGAAAGGCTCTTTTTATTACAATAATTATCAAGTCGTTTTACTAATCGAGCAACAAGTTCACCCTCTACAATGCTATGAACTAGTCCCAATTTTGATTCGAGGCCATATGTTGCATTGAATTTATTATTTTATTATATGTTTATTTACTATCCGCAGAGAGTGTTTAAGCTGACGTTTATGATAGTCTACTGTGATTACTGAGGGGCCTATGCGTAATTCAAATGTGTAAATATTCGACTCATTAAATTATGCATGCATTAATTATGGAGTGAATAGTTAAAATATATATAATAAATACTTTATACTAACTTTACAAACTGTCAGATCTACGCTTTTTAACAAACACTCTCCTTTACTTGTGCCCTAGTTTTAAAATATAACTCCTATATCCATACTAAAATTTTTAGTATCGGCTAAATTTATTTGGTATTGATTGTATAAGAATAATAAAACAAAACTCTTGTATCGTAACACTAACTCTATGCAATATTTTAAATCGCTTGCATTGTAGATGAAATCCGGAGTGCAGCTCCGATGATCCGCGCACGATATTATTCTGCACAAAGAGCCCCATCAAATCAGTGCCCGCTCTGAAAAATTAAAATTGCGATTCAAATGTACGTTTCGGTCACTAATCGTTACTTGAATTTATGCTGTGAATTTTTACCTATAAAGAATTAATACATTTTTATCTATACTAGGAAGCTTTACGCTACTTTGCTTATTTATTAAAGTAATTTGTATGTAATATAATAATATAAAAACACAATTTTAAAATTATAAACTCTAACATAGACAAACTAATGTTTTATTTTTTAAATGGCCTTATTTATGAATTAACATTTTTTTAAAACTGCTCCACCAACTATAAAACAGAAATTCATAGAGCTGTCAAAGACATACAAGGAATAATAATATTAATTCATACCGCTGATTGACACGGTCATGTGTCTGAGCAGCGCAGCGGGGCACCTCAAGGGTTGTTGAAAAAACCACCCCGCCCTCCTCCTCAGATTGGGGTATTTCAATCACTGCATGAAATGACTACGCCAATTTAAGTACTATTTGTGCTTTATACGCAATGGAAATACGCAGGTACACAGTTTTCATACGATATTGCAGGAACATTACTGAATTGCTAGTAAATTTATGAAGCTGTTTTCAATTTTATAAAGGTTTTATAAATTTGAAAAGTAAATTATGTTTGTTTAAACGAAAATGTTTTTGGAATTATTATAGAAAAAATTATCAATGTTCTTAAATCTACTTCTTCCAAAATGATGAAATATTACGATTTTAGCTATAGCTACATTTATTACCAAGCCTTATATAATAGCCTCATATACTGGATGTATGTAATACTTTCTTAGATTTACGCGAATATTTGACATTTTAAATAAAACTAACTTTTCGGATTTTTCGCGGATTTATTTGGATTTTTGGTTCTCGACGTTTCGAATGCTTTACAGCATTCATGGTCACGGGAGACTGAGGTGTTAGATGTCTCGAAGGTATAGTTGTTACAGACAGCCTACCCACAAATAACAAAATGAAAATTGCACCAATTACTTTACAATATTTTTTAATTTTAAACATTTTTATATTTTAATTAGGTTTACAATTGAATATGGAATATTATTTATTTAATTTTTGCTTTTATTATTATAATTATGTATTACAATTTTAAAAATATTAATTAGTAATCTATATTTAGTGTTGCAATTATTATATTTATAATCATAAAGAAAAATATAGTAATAATTATTGTGGATGTATGTACTTACGAGTACACGTTGATTCTTAACATAATTTTCATATTATTTTCTGAATTGCAATGCTATGGTTGGTGGTTGATGGTTCGCGATATATGTATATGGTTTGATTTTTAGTAAAAAACTCGAGCAAAATGTTTAGCCAAAAAAGTTGTTGAAAAAGGTGATTTACGATGCTTGGCGTGTACAAAAGTAGGCTCGCAGGACCATGCCTTAAAGCTAGATATTTTTGTAAGGTGAGGTATTGTTAAATTAAAACCAACTAAAATGATATTTTTGACATGTACACTGTAAGAATCGTCGATTTTTGCATTTTACAATACATATGTTATCGTAATAGTAGTATTTCCTATACCTAGTTCAAAGTAGCTATGATTTAGTACAAAGAAGGGTTACAGCACAGAATATACTTATTTTTATGATTACAATCTTATAGTTTAACATTATTCTTCTTTATACCTACTTGTAGATCTCTAACAGAAAGCAAAGTAACAAATAAATAGATTTTTTGAAATTCAGTATAATCTCAGTCTTAAAATAATATGATATAATTATTAAACTAAAATTGATGATAAATGCCCTTGTAAAAATAACTTAAAAAAAATAAATACATATAAAAAAATATAAACAATTATTCAAATACAGTATTAATTATATCAATCTGTGTTCAGTGTTATTTGATTACGGCCCCTAAAAATCTTAGACGCGGCGGCTCGGGACAGTAGGGTTGTAGCCGTAGGGGCTGCCGATAGAAGCTATAGATAACGCATATACTATGAGGTACGTAATAGATGAAGTCTTATTTGAATATTGTCCCAGATCCGCGGGGGGCGCGTAAATTAAACCGGCTTCCATGCAGGTACAATAAGTTTGAATATTTGTGGACAAACAATAGACGTTGTAAGGAATCGCTGTTAATATTGGATTTTCATGAAGAATTATTATCAGTATAGAGGTAATTGTTATTAATGTCTTTCCAGAAGAAAAATGGATACTGTTTCAAATAATCTCAAAAATCATAAATTATTTTCAATCAAAATTGATTTGGTTAATACTTTAAATTTACTCGAAAATTAAGGCTATTTGAATTCATTTTTTAATAGCTTTGGATAACATTTAGCTAAATAAAAATATTTTTGATATAAGGTAGGTAAGTATAGGCATTTTACATACACTTCAGTCAAGCTAGAGAGAGATAAGTTACGTTGGGTCAGTGCCATAGCTTTGTAGTGTGAAAAATGAGCGACTCGCAACGATAATGTTTCTACCACCTAATGATGTAGAAAGCGATAACCACATGTGCACGTGCCCTAACTTGCGTGAAACGACATCTTATACAGAAAATAAATAGATAAGTTTTTATCTATATTGTTTATATAAAGATACTAGCAGGGCCCGCGTTCAAATGACCAAAAACCAAATTCTTAGGTTTTACATATTAGTATTCTCTTACATTGTAGTTTTTGTATTTTTTTCTCAGAAATGAGATATTTTTCCGCGGTAAAAAGTATCCTATAAATTGACCCGGATAACCAGCTATCGCCATACCAAATTTCATCAAAATGCCTCCAGTGGTTTTTCCGTAATGCGGTAACACACATACAGACACAAATTCTAAAAACTATTGATTTGGCCTCTGCATCGAAAATAATGTCCATTTTTATAAGATTTTCCAAAAAATATTTAATGTACGGATTCAGCTCAGTTAGAATTTTATTATATGTATAGATTGTATTAATCGTTTTTTAACTTATTTCATCAAACAAAAACAATTGACGCACATCTTGTCACGATGATATTTTTATAAATTATTTAACAAAGTATCTATTTCCTACTACTTTATTAATAAAATTATTATATAAGTATTAGTAAAGTTTATAAAATGAGAAATCGCACTAAGCGTTATTTTTATGGTAATCGAGTCTCATTACTTCAAATTAGCCATTTAGGCCTATTTTCTCACAATTTTGTCTTGCTTGTATTTCTGACATATTTTGTCAGCAGTAGACCTTACTTAAATTAAAAAAATACATGATTACAGATCATTGACACAAGTTTGTTAAGGATAGTACTGGATTTTTAAGTTTTACACGTGGAGGGAAGTGAACAGTGTCGATAACGCAGCCACCACTCAATGAAGCAGAAGTGAGTGATAGCATGTACACACCTTAACTAAGTTAAATTAAAATTTACCATTTTTGTAACCAAATACGGTTGGTTTTATTGTACAAATATATTTTGAGCATCTCAGATACATATAAAAAAGAAAATTAAACCAGACCACTTTTATATCGTTTAAAGATATGAACTTGTTTAAACATGTTTTACTGATTATAATCAATGTCTATATTTTGAAAATTAAAAAGCGTAGATTTTTAGTAAAAAAATATATAAGTTGAGTTCTGCAAAATATGTATGTTTCGTGTTATGTAGGTAAGTACACACATACGTATGTATATTGAAAAACATTTAATGTCAGTTACATCCACGATGAATAGGTAGGCACTGTACAAATGGTCATTTTTTCTAATAATATATTAATATGAAATTAAATTATAAATAATAAATATATACCTATATGTAATAAAAAATATACCTACATACGTATGTTTTCATTTTTTAAGCGGAACCCTAATTCTTTTTCTAAAATAAAGGTAGCCTATGTTACTTCCTATAACATCAGCTATCTTCCAGTGAAAGTCCCGTCAAAATCAGTCCAGCCGTTTCAAAGATTATCCGGAACAAACAAACAGACAGACGGACAGACAAAAATATATAATGTCAATATTTAGTAAAACGCTGTTATTTTGACATTACAAACAGACACTTCAATTTTATTTATCTGTATAGATTATATTTCCCTTTTTTATTTTCAGACGTTTTCTGTAGCTTTATTATAATCAAACAGAAATTATTATGCCATTATTAGTACGCCATGCTTTTTAGAAGTTATTATTATGTAAGTTTCTAGTAGATACTTATTTTTACTTTTGAAGGTATCTAAATAATCTATATGATTTCTTTAAAAAGGTCATTCAAAATACCCTTACATTTCTCATAAATGATAGATGGAATGGAAAGGACGAGGCGCGGACAGGAAGAAATTGTCAAAATCCCGCGCACATGAGCCAATAAGCTAAATTGAAATGCCTCCTCCACGTTATAGAAGTCTTCCAAAGTAATTGGTTGACGAAGCTTTACAGGTTAGGGTTGGTATAGATTTATTTTAGTGCTTATATATAAGAGTAAAACATTTTATATATGTTACCTACCTATCTAGTAATGCCTACTATTAACTTCTAAATGATAAATAGTTTTCAAGCGAAAATCATGTATTTTTTAATGTTTAAGTACAGTTGAAAAGTTTCTTCATATTAAATCGAATCGCAGATTATCAAATGTATTCTTTAACATTAATTTCTAAGTTTTAATATATATTCAACCGCTTCCATATTTTTTTAAAGGTACCTACTAATTTTAAAATTAAACTTAAAATAAACAACGAGATATACTTTTTATCCGTAATAATTGTAGACCACTTTAGAATAACAATAATTTACAAAGTAACTGCTCCAATAAAACATAGGTAAAAATTTAAAATGACTTGAAAAGAAAACTCCTTAAATCTTAATCTCTAGTTAGTAGATCGAATGTCCGACTCGAGTCAATTTGAATGGAGTACCTACCTGACATTAAAAATACCCTCTTTCAATAAATAGCAAGGACAGTCCAGTCCGCATTCATTCGCTAAGTGAACCTAAACACGCCTTTGAACAACTCGCTAAGTAGACGCTTCGAACTGAAAAGGCAAACTTTGCACACATACTCCTTGTCTGAAAGTCGAATTTTAAGAGATTTTTATACTGGTCGTAGACTACGGCTTCCTTCACTTATAATACGAGATGCAAAATTATATTGTTTATATGATTTTTTTTATGACTCTCCAATAAATTGATGAAGAAAACTCTCATCAGTTATGGCACTGCCTTAAAGCTCATTAAGTGAATGATGTCAGTCACATTACTCTTAAAGGCATCATCGATTTCAAAGCACGAATGAATTTTAAATAAGGAATGACTGAATCACTGAATGTGTTGCTAAGCGCAAATCTCGACAGCATCTGAACCGATTTCAATAATTATTTTTTTAGAATATTCCTTGAAGTACGAGGATAGTTCTTACGGAGAGAAAAATTTAAAAAATTGCCTGAAAAAGTCTAAAAACACTTTTCTATACTCACATACAAAAGATTCGTGATA